TATTTTGATTTGAAAATTATGAAGTAATAATTGGTGTAAATTCATCAAAATGAGAAAGCTTTTAAGCAACCGCAACCTAAGCATTAATCTCCGATGGCGCGCCACGAAATGCTACGTACTCTCTACGCTACTTTACGGCGTAGAAGGGTGGACGTTAACCCAGCAATTATAAAGAAGTTAGCGGCTCTAGAAATGTGGCTGTATCGACGCATACTGAGAATACCTTGGCAGACAGAGTGACCAACACAGAGGTATTAAGACGAATGGGTAAAGAGGTGGAATTGTTAACAACTGTTAAAAGGAGGAAAGCGTCATACCTGGGCCATGTGTTCCGTAATGATAAGTACAGTCTGCTACAGCTTATCGTGGAAGGCAAGATTGAAGGTAGAAGAGGTTTGGGCAGAAAGAAGAAATCCTGGCTGAGAAACTTGAGAGAATGGTTTCAAATACCAGAAGCTGCGAACATAATTCATGCGGCACAAAACAGAGAAACCTATCGTATGATGGTCGCCAACCTTCGGTAGAAGACGGCACATAAGAAGAAAGAAGAAGAATAATTGGTGATGGTATAAAATAATTAGTAATTAAACAAAACTCAGAAGAAGAAAATTAAATTAACGACTAAGAACATAAAATAAAATTCAATTACAGTAAGTGTTCAAAATGCCCTCCGTTTTCGCGAATACACAAGTCTATTCTTTTTCTAAATATTCCATTAACCTTCTAAACGGTAGGGTATCAGTTATGATGTCATTAAATTAACGTTGAATTCTTTCTTCCAATTCTTGGCGTGAAATTACCTCTGTAGCATAGACTTTTCCTTAATATACGACCAAACAGCGTAGCCCAAAGGGTTAAAATCGTATGACCGAGGAGGCCAATGAATCGGAGCTTCTGCACCTCTACCAATCCATCGATTCGGAAAATGATTACTCAACCAATTACGGCACCTTCTATCGGTTCCAGTGTGGTGGAGCTCCATCGTGCATAAAAAATAAAGATCTTCGCTCGTTTAGCGTTAAATCTTCTAATATCTCGAATAAAGAATTATTTAAAAAATCAAGATACATATCACCATTTAAATTTCCAGGTAGAATATGATAACCTATTAATTTGTTACCTAAAGTTGCTACCCAAACATTAACTTTAAATGAGTGTTGGTAATGTGATACCCTTTTGACTCGTGGATTCTGATCACACCAGTAGTGTGCATTGTGGGAGAAACATACCTTGTCGTGTAAAGGTGGCCTCGTCCGTAAAAAGAATGCATTTGAAAAAATTTGGATTGTGGGCTATCCTTTGTTGCAATGCTTCACAACAATCCACTCTATCCGGTAGATCATCTGGCTAGAGCTCTTGGACTTGTCTGTAATGATAATGATGTAATTGCTGTTCTTTCAGTATCTGCCAAGTACTTGAAGAAAAAGTATTTGTATGTCTTGCTATATTCCTTACGCTAACTGTTGGCTCTTGATCACGTAAATTTAAAATATTCTTTTCTTTATTAATTGTTCTTGTTCTTCTTGGTCTACCAGAATTTATTCTACTTCGTCTCACATTCCCAGTTTCTCGACAACGTCGTTCAACGGCTATAAATGTTTTTTTACTTGGTAAGTTTCTTCTAGGAAACTTTTCTGCATAACGTGTCACAGCTGCACTAGACATCCTAAAATTTCGCCTAAGGTTAATAACATGTCAGTGTATTCAACATTTGAGTACATTTTGATTTGATTTTACAAATAACAAGGTTTCAAAACTCTAATTATTGTTGATGTATCGTCATAACAATCAATAAATGTCAGATTTCCATGGCACACTTGGAGAAAAATAGAGGTATACCTATTAGAACTTTATCATTACTACCAGCATCAATTATTACTTCAGAATTTTTAAATCAAAATATTCCGAAAACGGTACACAGTATCGAGTTTTACCAAAAGTACCTTTTTCGTGTAAAATTGAATGATGTTTAAGTTTACTTGAAATTTTGATTAATAATCATACTCTTAAAAAAGTTATATTGACTAATACATAGTACGATCCGTGTAAACAGCGCCCTCTATGAGAATCAGATATAAAAATAAATTCATGGGATGTATCAGCTTCCAAAACATGTTCGTATAAAATTGGATTACAATGTTGCCAGTAGTTTCGGCAAAATCGTAAAAAATGCGTAAATTTTTTTTCTTCGACGCCCTGTATCTTGAAAACGGATGGCGTTACAAAAATTTTTTACTAAGCAAACCCCAATTATTTTTCAGTTTTTTACCTACCCTAGAGATAGGGTTACCTTTTTTTGAAACACCCTGTATAACTATATTCTTTACAGATTAATATTTACTTGAACAACTCTTTGTTTTTTAACTCCATACTTTTTTTACTCCATAAATAAATTATGAAAAGCTAAAACAAAGTTTCACCGTACCGAAATTCCTTTGTTTGTTAAAATGTATCTCTTCCTGTTCCTGTTCCATTAAGGATTTCCATCAGCCTATTTTCACATTAGGCAAATTCTAACGCTGTCGGTTTACTATCCAAGTTGAATATTAAACATGCAAAAACTCATTATTATTAAAAGAGGCTCTATGTATAAGTTACTACGCTATTTGCTATATGGAGTTAACTTGACGCAAGTGGTTCAAAAGGAAAGCGAAGAAAATTTCAAGAATATTCTCATAGTTATAGTGCATTATTCTATTAAAATATTGTACAATTTTACACTATATTTACTATGGTTTATTTTTATGAACGAGAGAGTAATTAGCATAATTTTAACTGGTACATCCGACCACTCCATGGGCGTGCTCAAGATTAATTGAAAAATTACTTTGAATAATTGTAAAAAATAAATGAATTATTTCAGTGTTATAAAGTGGTATGTGTATGTAAACAAAAGTGACCTCTTTTATCACACACTATATTAGAACTGACTGGCCTACATTAAAAAGGGTTTTAAAAAATTCACATTTTTTTTAATTTTTAAAAATTACAAAAGAGAAAAAGAGTTTTTAAAACCGTCTAAGGTATGTTAAATAGATGAATAAAAATATTAATATAAAACTTACAGCTACTTGTTACAAATCCAAATCAGATTCAGAAGATGAACTTTCAGAACCAAGATTTATAATAACTGGCTCGATCATTTTATCAGTAATATTGTCCAGCTTCCACATTTTTTCCTCTTCTTTAATAGTGTGATTTACTGCCTTTTCCCAGTTTTCAGGTTTTACATTATTTACGACCTCCAAAAACAACTGTTTAACATCATGAATTTTAAAAGTGGTATTTTTTCTTCAAACTTCACTCTTTATCTGTGCCCATACCAGTTCAATCGGGTTTAATTCACAATGATATGGTGGGGATCTAAGTACTGTCATTCCACGATTTTTGGCAATTTCATCAATTTCGTATTTTTAAAATTTTTCTTTATGAAGGGCACACAACGAGTAAAGTTCCTTTCTTATAGATCCGGGATGGTACGTAATATTTTTTGAACTCAGCCAATTCTGCAAGTCTTTTTTTAACCACTTGGTTGTGGGCAGTCCTTCTATAAGTCTGGAGTGATAATTTGCATTATCCATTATCCAAGTTATTTACAAAAGCGTGCCTTTGACTTGTAACAGTTTCATCCTGCCAAAATTTATTTGGTGTATGACCCTCGTTGATCCATGTTTCATCAAGATAAAATATTTTTCTTTTTTGGTTTCTCATTTCCTTTCTGGTTCTTAGAAAATGTCTTCTCCATATGACAATATCGCTTCTTTCTAATAAAATAGACTTTCTGGGATTCTTTTTCCAGCGGAAGCCTATTTCTTTTAAAAGTTTTCATAACGTACTTCGACTCATTTCTGGGTAATCCTTATCATCTCGAACTGAGACAAGAAGTTTATCCAATGTTGGAAATACTTGTCTAAAGAAGAATTCATGCACTTTCCGTCGAAGTCCTTCTTTAAAATGATATTCTATTTGAAATTTTGGTTTCCCTGGAGCATTACGTGGCATTTGAAAACTACCACATTTCTCTTCTTTAATAACTCTGTAAATCGTAGATTTACCAACACCAAGTGTACTGCTAACTAACTCAACGGTCTCATCAACACTTTCACATAAACGTTTGTCTGTAAATGATTTAAAACAATTAAATATTAATGTTTTTTCATTACCTGTTAAAGGACCAATTTTTCGGCGTTTACACGGCACTTCCAAATTTTCCATAACACTAGTATATACAATAAACTGCACCTTGCAACTGAAGTACCTACTTTTAGTGAACTGTTAAGAATTTTGAATACGCCACTTGGACCTTCCTACAAAATGGAAAAACCCACTATCACATTTTCTGTGGAATAAGTTTAGAAGGTAATTATCTAGTCAATTACTGTCGTAGATTCCTGGAATTAAAGAATTAAATGTTTGATTGTTGAAACCCTTACTTCGTGGAATGCACTCATTTCAGATAAAATAAAACGTTTTATTTTATCTAAAGAATTTAACTTTATTTTGCAAATAGGTAGGTACTTATTAAACTTTTATTGGTTATATATAACCAATAAAATAAACATCTTACATTTCTTGCAAATTTATTAGTAACTGTTAACCTCCATCACTCCGACACTGGCAACCTTATTTAGGGATTAGTAACCCTCACAACTATTGTATTCTATTCTGCTCCAAACTTTATACCTGGTGGTCATACTCAATTTAAAATTGTTTTCCTATATACTTCTGTAAACTTGTTGACAAATATCTGTTTTTCATTGAGTCACCCGTATCAACAGTTTAGGGATTTGCATACATAATTTATTGTTTTATTACTCTCTCATACATAAAAATACACTATAGTACTGCTCCATAAATTATTTGTTAATAAATCTGTTTTATCTAATTTTTTCTGTTCTATCTTAAAGGCATTATAAGATGATATTTCTTATTCTAGAAATTTTTTCTAGCAATGCTTGCTAAACTTGCAATTCTTTATCCGTATCCATAAGACAAGGCACTTAAACTATATTAAAATAAATCTGTCCCATCAAGTTGCCAGATGGAGATGTTAGAGACTTTCTGAGACATTGAAACAATTCATCGTCGCATCTACAATGGGATTTGGTGAATAAGGAATGGTTGACGAGTTCATACTTTTTGGAGTTAGCCATGACCTTCACGGGACAGAGATCATGAGTTCGGCAGCAAGAGTTGACGGCTGAATCTGTTCCTAAGTCGAAGTAGTTTTTAGCTATGTCTCCAGTGCCACACCATTTGGTTCCAAGTACAATACCATTCAATAACGTGAATGGGCTCTTTGAAGCAGTCGACCTTTCAATAGTTAATTCGGCACCATTCTTTCTAACTTCCTTATTCCTTCTCATTAATCTCCCTTCTTCTAATTGTTTACACTGAGTCATCAGAATTACCATTTCATCAAAGGCTATCATCATCGGTCTGGCAGTGTCCTTTAATTCACCCAATACCTGCATAACTTGTTCTGGCTTTAAAATTTCAATTAATTCACGACGGCATAGACTTCCCGTCAATTCCCGTCAGTCGAGATTTTTTTTAATATACCGTACATATTGGTATCAGATACCCAATGATTTTTGTAAAGAAATAAAAAAAAGTAAATATTTTATGATTTCCAGAGACTAAAATCTAAATCTAAAATTTTCTAAAAAGGCAGAAGACAAAATGGTCTTTCTAACTAAAATCTAACAACTTTTAATTATAGAACTATTAATTCTTGGCCAGGTATTTCAATTGCAGTCATTTTGGTGACTAAATTCACAACACAGTTTAGCTCTATGCTCCATGCAGTATGCTTTTTGGCAAGCCTAGCATGCATGCCTCGTTTTTCCATCTTTTCCTTTGCAGAAATACACCTAGTTTGCTTTAATAAACTTTTGGGATATTGTACTGGAAGGTCTTCACCTTGAAGAATGCAGCACATTGTTTGCCTGAGTGATTTCTGTAAAGAAGGTATTTAGAGTCTCTCTCGCATTAGTGGTGCAATTAAAGCCATTTCCAAAGACTTCAGAAATGATCTTTTATTATTAGATGCATTTTCTTTTTAATGGGGATTTGCGAGAGAAAATAGCACAATTGAATTTATACCACTTGCATCAAGCATGTTAAAAAAAATTCTTAATGTTCATCGTCTGGATCCAAGAATCGTGGCAACATTTCTAACTGGTTCATGACCTATTTTACTATCACTTTCATCAGTATCGGTATTGGAGTTTTGTTCTTCCACATAATCCTCCTCAGATTCGGAATCGGTATTAAAGATATTTTGACCATTATTTTCGTTGTTTAAATTAGCAAATAAATTTTCAGCTTTTCTTTTAGGTCAGCTTGGGTCAACGGGAACGTTTTTCCAGTTTTCTTTCCAACTACATGAAGCCATTTCCCAACAAAATCATTACAAAAGAAATTAATAAATTATCGCAAACCTCACACATGGGTGCTACATACCCTACCGTTTATTCAATAAATTTTTGTGATTGGAAATATTGCTCGAATGAGACTGCAAATATATAATAATATATCCATCCTTGGCGGACTATAGACCAAAGTTACATGAAGCGGCATTACCATTGAAATTCGGTTGCGCATGCTAAATTCAGTTAACTGCCTGGATGGGTATATCGCACACCCAAGTGTGAGCTTCCAGGGTTAATAAAATATTTGTATTTTTATGAATAGTAGTAATTTATTTAATCGTTCAGCTTTACTTAAATAGCAACTGCATGTTTTTGTAAAAATTGTAAAAAAGGGCAGATCTTTTTTTGAACTTAGTCATTGATTCGTCGATGGACTGATTGGAACTATAGGTCCTCGCCTTTCCTAACATTACCACTGTTGCCAGGTTGCCTAACAACCTGGCAACAGTGTTAATGTTAAAACTCAATTATCATTTCTTAGAAAATAGTGTCTAGAATTTTGGTGTTTTACTATAGACGATAACATTTTAAATACTATCGAACCTCATCTAGCAGCTCTTTGTTTATCTAGAAGAGCAAACTCTTCATATAAAAAAGGAAGAAAAACCGCAAAATATAAAACACACAATACTTAAGATAATTTTAATGTGGTAAAGTTACTTTCAGTTTCTTTGCTTTCGATTTATTTTTTGTTTTTTATTTAATGTTCATTATGTACGTCGTAGGTTGATGTTATGTTAATCTTCCACTTCTTTATAATCCATAATTAAGCATTTTACATCTTCTTTTGCATCTCTAAACTCTTCCTCTTCCATGCCTTCTCCAACGTAATGGTGTATGAACGCTCTTTTAGCCAACATCAAATTAAATTTTTTAAGAATTCGTTCCCAGGCGCTTTTGACAGCAGTGTTATTAGACAGCATAGTTACAGCTCTATGAACTTTTGCCAAATCACCTCCGGGAACTGCTACCGGTGGCATGTAGTTAATTCCAACCTTAAAACCAGTAGGACTCCAGTCGACGAATTGAATTGATCTCATCGATTTTATATTAGTTATTGCATTGTTGACGTCTGTTGGGGAAACATCACCACGGTAGAGAAGACAGCAGGATATATATTTGCCTAAAACAGTAAATCTGGTTAAAAAAGTTGTTGCACGACCCTTTTTTTAATTGCTGTAAATGATATTCTAGATCACTGCTCCCCACTATTTGAAAGACTTTATGCTGATGATCTGGTTATATTTGCTAAAGGAAAAAATATCACACAGAGAGCACACAGTTACTTTACTCCTGGAGACTAACACAAAAATTACAGGAATCACACAGATCAACGACGGACCAATACGAACATATAAAAATCTGCATGAAAGACGCAGCGCTAGAAGCCTTAAGGCCACAGGTATGGAGAGAAGATAAACCATATTGGTGAGATAAAGAAGTGGAAAAAAAGATAAAAAGAAAGAAGGAAGTATATTAAAAGTTATTATAACAGGAAGACGAACAAACAAAACAACAATATAAAAACTTGAATAAAGAAGTCAAACGAGAAGTGGTTAAAAAAAATAGTGCATAGGAACAAAAATGCCAATACCTAGACAACCATATAGGAGGGACAAATTGCTCTGAAGCCTGGAGAACTATAAAAACGATGAAAACAACGACAACAAACCAAGTCATAATAAATAGAATACCAGAGAACACATGGGTAGAGCATTTTGTGAACTTATTAACAGAGAGAAGAGAATGGTTTAAACAGACAAATTAACAATTTGAAGAAGAAGGAAGAATAAAAATATCAATAGAACAAGTGAAAGAAGCAGTTAAGGGAATGAAATTAAGAAAATTTCCAGGCCCAAGTGGAATACATCCAGAGTTGATTAGATATGGATCATCAAAACTGCTTGAAATGATCCGAAAATTATTCGAAAGATGCTTAAACGGAGAAGAAGTTCCAGAAGAATGGAAACAATCGTATATCTCTCCAATACACAAGAAAGGCACAAAGACGGATCCTAAAAACTATAGAGGAATCGCAGTGATTGCTGCTATAATGGAAACAATCGTATATCTCTCCAATACACAAGAAAGGCAAAAAGACGGATCCTAAAAACTATAGAGGGATCGCAGTGATTGCTACTATAGGCCGACTATACTCAAAAGTACTACGAAACCTTATAGAAAATTATATTAAAGACAAACAACCCGAAGAACAAGCGTGATTTATTGCCGGACGCTTCACTATGGATGAATAGAGACACCCATACAGCTTTAATAGATTTGGAAAAAGCATACGACAGTGTACCGATCTCCCAACTATGGATAGCAATGGGTTACTTTACATACATATTGATTTATTCGTAATACGTTGTATTTTTCGCTTGTTCTTCTTCTTACGGTGCCGTTTCGGATGTTGGCGATCAACATGGCTATCCTAAATTTGCTTGCTGCTATTCTGAATAGTCCGGTTATTGATGTATTAAACCACTTTCTCAGGTTTTGAAGTCAAGATATTCTTCTTCTCTCTGGTCCTCTCTTTCCAAAAAACTTGCCCTGAAGAATGAGTTGCAACAAGCCGTATCTCTGTTCAGTCCTCATAAGATGGCCAAGATATTCTAGTTTGCGCTCTTTGATGGTGTTAATAATCTTGCATTCCTTGCCTATTCTACGTAGGACCTCAACAGTAGTCACACGATCCACCCATGAAATTCTTTAAATACGTCTGTAGCACCACATCTCGAATGCCTCGAGTTTTCTTAAAGAAGCTTCAGAAAGTGTCCAGCCTTTTACTCCGTATAATAACGTAGAAAATACATAGCATCTAATGAGAGAGATTTTAGTAGCAAGTGGTAAATCGTGTCTTCTGAAAAGAGACCTCATCATTATGAACGCTGATCTCGCTTTTCCTATGCGTTGTTTTATTTCACTGGAGTGATCCCATTGGCTGTTAATGTTGGTACCAAGGTATGTGTAGCTGTGCACTCTGTCAATTGGATGTTGGTTAACCAAAAGTTGTGTATTTATTATTTCACGCTTACTGACTACCATGTACTTTGTTCTTTTCTTATTGTCCATGTTCTCTACTTATATCTGATATACGTGACATTATTCTTTGCAAACCATCCAGACTATCTGCAAAAACTACTGCGTCGTCGGCATATCTAATGTTGTTTAGACGCATTCCGTTGACGAACACGCCTTCGTGTTCTCTTAGCGCTTGCTCAAAGATATATTCAGAGTATATATTAAATAACACCGGGGACAGAATTCATCCTTGCCTCACTCCGCTATCTATGGAGACTGCCTCTGTCAATTGGACATACACTTTAATATTGGCTGTTTGGTTTTAATATAAATTATAGATGATTCCCAAGTCCTTATCATCTAACCCCACTTCTTTCAAGATGTTTATAAGTTTATCATGCTTTACTCTATCAAATGCAATTTTTTAGTCGATAAAGCAAGTATACACATCACAATTAACATCCCTGCATCTCTGTATAAGCACTTGAACAGCGAATAGAGCTTCTCGGGTGCATAAGGAATCGCGGAATCGAAACTGCGTCCATGATACTTGTTCTTCACATTTTTTATATATTCTGCCGTGTATCACTTTCAAGAACGTTTTAAGTAAGTGGCTCATTAGGCTAATTGTTCTGTAGTCTTCGCATGTCTTGGCATTTACTTTTTTTGGTATGGTCACGAAAGTCGACTTTAACCAGCTTTGGGGTATTTTTCCAGTTTTATATATGTTGTTGAATACAGTTGTTATCAATTTTATTTCCTGTTCATTCATAAGTTTTAGGAATTCTGCACAAAACTCGTCAGGCCCTACCGCTTTACTATCTTTAGTTCTTTTAATAGCTGACGTGACTTCTTCAATGTTAATCGGGGGTCCTGTTTGGCATTTAGTGTCTTCAATGGTATTTTACCTTTCATCTGCAAAAGTTACTTCCACATAATTCTTCCAAGTGTCTAGTTTTTCTTTCAAAGGTAACAGTGGTTTGCCTTGGTTATCTGCCAAATACCCAACTCTTTTAGGTTTGTATAATCCTGCGGCTTCTTTAACTTTTTTGTGCATATTAAATGAATCGTGGTTATGTTGCAATAGCTGTATTTCCGCACACTGTTTTCTTAGATGTGTATCTTTAGCTATTCTAATAGCTTTTTTGATCTTTTTATCGATTCTTTTGTATAATGACATGTCTTGATCTTTGAACTTTCGCCTCTCTTCCATCATACCTAGAATCTCATTTGTCATCCACGATTTCTTATTTATTTTTGGTGGTTTGAGAAATTTCTCTCGTATGACTTTTGAAACTGTATGTAACTTTCCTAGCTCCTGGTCCATTACATTCGATTGTATAATGGTATTCAAATTGTTCTGTATATACCGCTTTACACTATGTTCTGTGTGTTGGTCTTTTAATAGCTTGATGTCGAATTTTGTATTGACACTACGTCTAACCTTCTTTAGCCTGAGCCTAATTTTGCCAATCAGTGAGTTATGGTCTGATTTGATATCAGCTCCTGGGTATGTCTTGACTGATGTTATGCTATCATGCTATTTTTATTTTTCGCTTAAGATGTTGTAATAAATTATTTGTCTTATCCTTGGAATTGGATTTTTCGCCATTTGGGATGCAATTTTCTTCTGTCAGAAATTAGTAATCTGCTTATCTTCAGATAATTTTTTTATTGTCATAATAGGGATCAATGGTTGGAGTAGTGTTTTATGGTGCTTACTAAATTTATTTGATGACAATTCCAATTCCGCATCTAACTGATATTTAGTTTTAAAAAGGACCAAAAAAAACTGTTAATTTATAATGTCAAACCATAACTCTCATGTCATTCAGCCCGGTGTCTAGGCTATTACCGAGGTGTATGAATATGTGATTCCATGGCCTATCTTAATTACGATCTCTTTCGATCGCTCTGTATGTAAAATATTATAACAATAATATATAAAATTCTTATACATACCAGTCCGTGGATCACACTTTACCATCTGATTTGCAGGTTCAAAACACGAATTTGTTAAGCTGGCTACAGATAGCTGTTCGTGGAAAGCCTTGGTTGCAGGTACGAATGGAGCGTATGTTGTTAGGGGATAGTGGATTCTGGGATATGGTATGAGATTTGTTGTAAACTCCGCTAGGTCAACATTTATAGCCCCTTCGAACCTCAATGACGCTGTAACGGCTGAAACTACTTGCCCCAAAAGCCTATTAAGATTTGTGTAGGTAGGTCTTGGTGTATCTAAGCTTCTACCTAAAAAAAAGATGGACTCTAAAAGGTACATATTCAATATAAACAAGAAGAAATAAAAACAGAAATCATTATATTCTTCATAATGTTCATTATATTGTAACGACAATATTTTGCTTACCTCAGGGTAAGAACATGAGGGGTAGAAGATTGGACAAACAAAATAATAGTAACAAGTGCGAACGACACTCAGTTGGTTGTTGGAGAGCTGGGTCGTGGATAAGTTGAAATATGGGGGTTGGATTGGGGTATCTACTAAAATGAAGACAAAGGGATACTTACATAAATCTCCTGGGCAATTGATAAAACGAACAAATCAAAAATAGACTAGGAACACCTCAATGAATTTAATATAGGGCGCCACTTAAAGGATCCTAGTTTACTGAAAGAAAGAAAAAAATTCTTCTTCCCTAATACCTAAAATACATAAAAAGGGTTTAGGAGATTTTTCCAAATAAAAATAAAAAAATAGGTTAGAGAAACAAATCTAACGTTTTTATTGTCTCAAACAAACAGTTTTTTAAAAAATACAGCTTATACAAAAGGCAGACTATATAAAAATAGTTGTCAAATACAAATAAAAAAACTTACATGTTATCTGTTTACAAAGAGGTTACAAAAACCTTCGAAATGGTTCCTACTAAATAACGTGGCCAAATTAGATTAAAATTTTATGGATATCCTTTTGTGAAAAATAAAATTTAATCTTTACTATAAATCAAAATATCTTTTACAACAGATTAAAAATCAAACTGTCATACGTCAAAACAAACATTTTTAAAACAGGATAAAATTATGACATTACAGTTTAAACCACGCCCTAACATAATATTTATTTTAATTACAAATATTTTTTAAAAAAATAATTTATAAAATAAAGCAAATTTTGTCTTTTTAAAAGAAAATGTCTATTTTTAATTTAAAAATTAATAACGTAAATGTTACCTTAGTTCACATATGTTAACTTAAACTTTTGAACAACTGGTTAATTTCTGTGGGGTATCTAACTGCACATCAACGGAAAGCTTTATTGGAAGCTGAAACTGGCACATTGGCACATTCAAATCAAAACTGCTCCAATATCATTCTACGTGAGGTGAAGAGGCATCTTGAAAGGAACTGGATTTCTCAAAAAAACGAAAAGAAAGCAGGAACTAAACTTGTTCACTTCTCAAACATTATAAATCTTCAGCAAAATCAAATCAGTGGTTAGTGGTCACTCTTTCAGAAACGACATATTACATAGAGTGAAAATTCCACTCGATAGTCGATCTCCTGGATAGATACCGCCTCTTATCCCCGCACAACCATTCCATCTTGTCAAATCAACAAATTCTTTACTCAAACTCGTTCAAACTTCCGGCGTTACTACTCTTTAGAAAAAAGAATACCAGGCTTGCAATATTTTTCTGGGAACGTTGAAGTTAAAAAGCCATAAATTGTTTTCTTTAGCAAATACGTCTTTATTTATTGAAGAATTATTGCATATATAAAAATCTCTACAGACAACACATTTCTAGCATACCAGGGGCGTACTATGATAAATATAGAATCGAATTTATATTATTATTTAGACATTAAATATAAAACGCTACAATATCAGCTGGGTAAAATATAAATAAGAAAAAACTTTATAAGGATTATAAATGCACAGTTTTATATGAAAAAAATATGCTTAATGCAAAAGATGGCCTTTACATTTATCACTTTCTGTCAGAAGTTTTCTCTTTTTTCACCAACTTCTAACGATTTTAATCTAATTAAGGTCTGGTGAATGACCAGGCCATTGGAGTAAATTTACCTATTTATCAGCTAGTAATTTTGTGGTACTTTGAGCACAAGTCCAGGAGTCAAGCTATAATATATAAAAAAAGGTTCTTAGTTAATGCCAAAAATATTTAGTTTCCGAGATATCGACGATTGAGTTGAATAAAAGGACAAATATAGCCAATTTTTAGAAATTCCTACATAATAAATTTTTGTTTAAAAAGTGAAACTTCTGTTGGAACTTCATCTTAATGATGCTGATTATAAATATGTAAGAACTTTCGTGATATGATTGCTTGTACCGAGATATCGACTATTACCAAACAGCTTTGACATTGAACTTAATTTAACTTCAATTTTCTTTGATATGGGGAGGGGGGATATATTAACTAAGAGTAAGCTACTTTAAAATGTACGGAGTCGAATGGAAACCTTTTTTTATGAAAGTTACTATCAATAACGCAGTAATAAAAATAAAGTCTTCTTCTTCTTCAGCATTCATTTATCCATTGTTGGACATATGCCTCCTCCAATTGCTTCCACACTTTTCTATCTTTTGCAATTCTCGTCCACTGCTTTCCAACTACAGCTGTTATATCGTCTATCCATCTCTTTTTGGGTCTTCACACGCTTCTTTTTGTTTCTCGAGGTCTCCAGAATGTCACTTTATGAGACCATCTGTTGGTGTCTTGTCTTGCTACATGTGTTACCCATTGCTATCTTAATGTCGCTATTTTTCCCATGATATCGGTTACTTTAGTTGTTCGACGTATTTCGGTGTTTGTCTCTGAGGCATATATTTAACATGGCAAGTTGAGTTACTCTTAATTGTTCTGCCATTTTTCTTGTTATTGCCATAGTTTCCAATCCATAAGTTGCAACTGATACTATACAAGTGTCATAGGTTTTTCGTTTTAAGGGTATTGGAATTTTTCTGTCTTTTAAAATGAAGCTCAACTTACCAAAAGCAGCCCATGACAATTGTGTCCCTCTTTTAATTTCTAGGGTTTGATTTTCCTTTTCGTTTTTAATTGCATGTCCTAGAGGTATATATTGTTCTACCTTTTCTATATTGATGTTATCTATCGTGATGTTTTCTAGGCTGTTGGTTAATATCTTTGTTTTGTCGAGATTCATTTTTTGATTCGATTTGTGATTTAAATCTTGTAGCATTGATTTTAGTTCATGGATATCTGTGCTTATTAGTACTATGTCGTCTGCGAAACGCAAATAGTTAAGATATACTCCATCTATTTTTAATCTCTTTTCGGCCCAATTTAGTTTTTTGAAGACATTTTCCAATGCTAAAGTAAATACCTTGGGTGAGATGGTGTCGCCCTGTCTCACAGCTTTGTCAAGGTATATTTTCATAGTTTCCAGATCATTATCTATTTTAAGTGAAAAGTAGCATCATCGTATATATTCTTAAGAAGGGCAGCATATCTTGAATCTACTCTGGCGTCGTCCAATGCTGTTAAGAAAGCTCATTTCTCGATACTGTCGAACGCTTTGTGATAATCGACAAATGCCATATGTAGTTATATGTTGTTCTCTATTGTTTTTTCTTCTTCTTCTGTTGAGCGCTTTATAGTTTGGGTTATCTCTGTTCGTTCTTTCTCTTTTCTCTATCTGTTCTAGAGTCTCATGTTTTAGTTTAGCTTCTTTTTGTTTTCTTATTCTGCAACAAAGTTTCTTAGTGACTGTTTGTATGTCTTTAGTTGTTTTCTCAGCTAGTTTATCTATATTCTTGTGCTCAAAGCTATTTGCTACTACTTTCCGTACTAATTCCTCTTGGTATTTCTCTTTATTACTGGCTAGGATGTCTGCCGTCGGTAAAGGGTTTGTTGTTAATAGTTTTCATCTTTCTCTCTTTACGTTAATACGTATATCGGCACGAACTAGTCTATGGTCACTGCCAGTGTTAAATGTGTTCAGCACCTCGATGTTTTTATATACTGATCTATCACTGGAAAGGATAAAATCTATTTCATTCTTAACCTGGCCGTCAGGGCTACGCTATGTCCACTTTCTTTGTATTTGTTTTTTATAGAACGTGTTCAGGCAAAACATTTTTTCGGTGCTTACAGAATTTGCTAATGTCTCTCCTCTAGTGTTTCTGTTGCCTAGACCGAAATTTCCTATGTAATCTATGTCGCCTGGTATTCGCCGCCCTATTTTTGCATTAAAATCTCCGGTGATGATAACATAGTGTATTTTTTCTAGGTCTTTAGCTCGTGTTATATCTTCGTAGAGTTGTTCTATTGCCTCATCATCCGCAGTGGAAGTTGGAGCATAGCAGTGTATTATCTGTAAGCTATATGGTTTATTCAGTTTTAATACAAGATATATCACTCTTTCCGACACTGCTGAGTATTTCACAATCTGGAGTTCTATTCTTCGGTTGACCATGAAAGCCACTATTTGACCGTGGTTCTTTGAATAATGTTGGTATAGAGTGTGCCCAGATTTTAGGGTGGTCTTTTTCTCTCCTTAAAGTCTCGTTTGACATAAGCTTACAATATCCCATTTAATAGCCCCTAGTTCCTGCTCTATTTCCTCTAGATGGTCGTTCGTTCTCATGGTTCTTATGTTGTATGTAGCAATTTTAAAATTTTGAGAAATAATTTGTTTATTATGGTCATGTATTTTCGATCTTCTACCTCCCCCAGAATCCGTGAGGCAGTCCATATTGGAGTGGGATTCTGAGTTATAAACTCTAACCACCTGGGGTACTATATTTTTGAATCTCGATTTATGCATAAATATATTGAAGGGAAAACGGCAATTAAAACGCCACGCTTACCGAGCGGGTTGGCAAGTATATATTTCAGCCGCCCCTAACCTGGAGTCAGACGCTGTTTGCAGCCGTCCATTCTGGATAAGACGCTGCTTAATTCTATACCAGCCTTAAAATAACGGAATTGCCACTTTCATCATTCACACCGTACCGAATTTTTGCTTCTCCGCCGTGATCTGCCGTTGTGATTTTCATCTGTAACCCTGGACAAGAAACCCTAAACCAGTGCTATTTTCCCAGGTTAGGAAACCCCTGGAATTTGCGTCGGACAGTGAACGTATCCTTTTTCCTGATAGAACTGCCCGAAGAGTTCCTACCCACTACTCCCCGAAAAATAAAGTCAACTTACCTAAAATATCATAAACAGCTTCATTATCCATAAGAAAACACACGTCTTCATATTCTATAGAGGCATTTGTGGATAATACAGTATTATAAGGCTCCACGATAATGGTTGATATCTGTGGCGAAGGAAATATAGCAAATTCCACTATATTGACTTTACCATAGTCAGCGGCTAGATGCTGCAAAAACAGGGATGTAAATCCTCCGCCAGTACCTCCTCCATAAGCTCTGAAGAGGATGAAACCCTTTTAAATAGAAAAAAATGTGTATAAATACATAATCAACCATTTTTATTTTTTTGATGTACTTTAAAAATAAAAGATTTGTTCAAGAAAAATTGATTCCCAACTTTTTACCACGAAAGTGTTTTAGCTAACGATAACTCTTCTTATAATAAACTGATTGCTAGTTAGTGTTAAGCTAACAGGGAGAAAAAATGCATAACTTAATAATAAGAAAAATATTCATCTTTTTGGATTGCTTTGTAGTTTTACAATTTTTGTTAATTTTGTTATAAATTTTATATCATTTTCGGAATAGACTTTGACTTGATTCTAACTTCTGATAGGAGCCTCATTCACGACTTGTTCCAGTTTGTTAATGATCAGGTCAGTTTGAGCCTAATCTAGTTAAGTATCAGGATAATGTCTATATGCCACCGCCATCGTGAGTAGAGTAGAGTATTTATTTAACTACATAACATATAAAAAATATTGTTTGTAGCAAGTCAAAAAAAAAAACATACATAGTATTAAATGATAAAACATTAAATAATACAAACATGAAAACATATTAAACAGATAAATAATACAAACATGAAAACATATTAAACAGAAAAATATTTATGGCAAAGTTACGGTAAGCAGTTCAGTGGATGTTCTGCAATGAGTCATATATTCTTCTGAGCAGTAAAAACAATGTTTTAAAAGATTTTTAATATTTTTATATAAATAAATAACTTAATAACTAATAACTAATAACTAAACTTTTTTATAACTTTATCGAAACTATTACAGCTTAGCTCTTTTATACTTTTTGGTAAAATATTGTAATTTCTGAAAGACTTAATCTACCGCGATTTGTTCGTAGGTAGTGACAGTTTCGCGTATTGTGAACATGGACATCAGACTGCTTTATTAAATGGGCACATTTTCTGTGAATTTGAGTTGAAATATCAACAGAGTAGGTAGCGGCATAATTTTGAATTTGATAAAGAAAGGTCGGCAGTGTTCTAGATAACCAACCCCTGCTAAAATCCTAACAGCTTTCTGTTGTATTCTAAAAATTTGAAGTGCATTTGTTGAATTGCCCCATATAATTAAACCATAGTTTAGGTGAGAGTGGAATAAAGAAAAATATGTCATTTTTAATGTTTCAAAGTTGACAACCCTTGCTAGTTGGCGAATAACAAATAATGAACTGGATAGCTGTTTCTTAAGGTGTGAGATATGAGCAGACCAGTTCAGTCGATTATCTATGGTTATTCCCAATAGTTTAGCAGTCTCTTTGTTAACTAGATCATTGTGTAAATTACTTGCAGATATAACCATATTTTGCGTTTTATCAGAATTAAGTTTTAGTTTGTTTGCAGCAAACCATGAGCTAGATTTAGTAGTAACTTCCTCATGAGACATTTGTAAATCATCATTATTTTTTCCTGATATAACGTATGTCGTATCATCTGCGAATTGTATGGTTTTGTACGGAGATATGAATTTAGGCAGATCGTTGACATAAATAATAAACAAAAGAGGTCCTAAGACCAAACCTTGTGGGACTCCATGTTTTACGGATAGAAAATCAGATAGATGACCTTTAGACACTACCGCCTGGTGTCTGCCACATAGATAAGAAGTTATAAGCTTAAGAGGGATACCTCTGATTCCATAGTAATTTAATTTGTGGAGAAAAATGTCGTGTGAAACGCAGTCAAAAGCCTTTGATAAGTCACAAAGAGAAATTGCTACGCGATTGCCGCGTTCAAGCCCCTCAATCACCTCGCTCACAACATTAAATACCGCGTTCGTAGTAGAACGAGCACTTCTAAATCCATATTGTGAGTTGCTAAAGTAATTATTTGACTCAAAATAGGAATAAAATTGTTGTTTGATAACCTTTTCAATCACTTTCCCAAAAGTAGAAACAATGCTTATGGGTCTGTAATTGTCAGTTTTTGAGGAATCACCTTTTTTGTAGATTGGTAGTACTTTTGAGTATTTTAGTACTTCTGTAAATACTCCGGTGGATAGAATTAAATTAATAAGATGAGTAAAAGGTGTTAAAACTATTTGGTAAGTTTCTTTTAAAATTTTGCTATTAATCTCGTGAACCTCCCTACAATTAGAATTACTAAGCGACTTTATTATTTGAGAGACCTCTTCTTCCAGAACGGGCCGAAAAAAAATGACTTGCTCGGAGAAGGATAATTTCTATAATTGATGAGGACATCGATGTTAATAGTGGGAAGAGATGTAATTAGTGAGTACTCTTCGGACACTGCTATATGAGCTAATCTGCTCATTACAATTACTTTTTTCTAGCGACTCTGTTGCAGGAGGATGGTAGTGGTATTCTTCCGAGGTTTTCTTTACCTTTGGGTTTTCTTTGGAGTTATCTTTGACTCTCTCTCCAAATATATATCTTCTCTCTTAGGTATAATTCGGCTCCTATCGAGTTAGCTTCCACAATTAGTAGCAAAAAACTTATAAAACGTTGACTCTTAGCTTGATTGCTCAGCGCTAATGAGAATAATGAGATCAATGCACAAATTAACTGCAATGCTCTAAACAGAGAAACCAAGCCACAAATGAGTGAATAGTAGGTACTTTAAGTAGTTTTATAGATACCTGTCAAAAACAATGAAATATTATGTACCTATTATTTTTTACAATTATGGAAAAAGAGTACGATAAAGCAAACTGTCTACCTGCATATTATTACATCCTTCTACAACTTTTCTAGTTCTATCCAATGCTAAATGTAACATCTCAGTACCAATTCCATACTTCCCTCTAGCATAATTATTTGCTGCATCTTCTTTACCAGTAAGTAGCTGATCTGGATGGAATAACTGTCTGTAATACCCAGTACGGATTTCGTCTATTACTGTGGGTTCTAAATCTACCATTACAACTCTGGGCACCACTTGGCCATAAGCTGTAAGACTAAAAAAGGGACTGTAACTGTTATCTGTAAAACACTCATTATGAAATGTTCCATCTACTTTGATTCCATGTTCTAGACAGTACAGCTCCCAACAAGCGTTTGCTACTTGGACACCTGCTTGGCCAAAATGGATCTGGACTATTTCTCTGTTGCTCATTATGGGTTATATAGTGGTGAAGGTCATTATTACAAGAATTTAGAAGTCATGATGTTAATGTATGATGATGGGGTTTGATGAAGTGATTTTGACAATTACATATTGTCACACTTTTCGTCTTCTTTTATAACTATTCAAATAAACTATTATTGACAAACAATGACACTTTATATTTCAGTTTTTCAATTTTACAGGTTTACGTCATCACGTTTAAGTTGTATTGGATCTTTTATATTTGTATCTGTAGTAGCACACCAACTACTTTGAGATTATCAGTTATTTCACACATAAAAATATTAATTTATACTATAATAAAATCTTAGAGTGATGGGAAACTACAAAGTTTATACCATATCTAATATAAAAAGTAAAATAAATGTGAGAGATACTATTTTTTCTATTATTTTCAAAGCGTAGTATACTTTTTTCACTTTTGATTTTTTTTCTGTATTTTTCAATGTAGGTTAAGAGAATGTGCACTTAGTTAATAATTATTAGTATGTTTATAGTATTATACAGATTACATATTATTGTCACGTTGGTCCTCAAACTCAATAAAATCACTAACTTTCCACTATATTTAATTTAAATTTATACCCGTACATTGTTACATATCTAAGAGGAGTTTGTTACGTTATGTACACATCTCAAACAATAAATATACAATAATAATCCAATAATAAATCTCTTTCACGTTTTATATTTCTACCAGGGTTACCCTATCGGACTTTGAATCTACGTGATATAAGGCGAGGCTGTGTGTAAAAAATAAGTGTATGTAATCCAAACATAACTGATCGTGCCATGACTCTTGGTTTGACACACTGAGACATTTACAGATCTATTTTGCTTCCCTTTGTCACTTAAAGCCCTCATCCAGTCCTAGTCTCTTAATGAGCTTACACAGCCTTGAGAGTTCTTTCATATATATAGATTAACGCTTTTGATTTTTTCTATCTGAGTTCTAGATACCGCATCCATTAGAGGTTCGACCATGACATAAAACATGTAGATCGGCTTCTTCTTCTTTTAGAGAAAACTGACACTCTTTCGTTCAGCCCATACGACTCAAATGCTGATTGAGCCTATTGGGACCGTGCAAGTTCGGAACAGCGACACCTGGTGTCGTAAATCAGCAAAATTTACTGCGCTTTCATGTTAGATCGAGGTTACCGGATAACTGTCAAGGATGTAGCCCCAAAAAAGAATGAGAAGAAAAAGTAAGATTGAGGTTATGTCGGTATGTTATTAAAAGGTAAACGTTGTATGTAGTGTAAATACAAATAAATATTTTATTAAATCACAGCATTACTGTTAATATGGATGCAATAATAAAAACTGGATTTGAGAAAGTAACTCACCAAATAACTTCTCAACCAAGCACTGAGTCAAAGGGAAAAGCTTTAGTAGTGGCAAATGTCAAAAAAGAATGGAAGAATTATGTGGAAGAATTAAGAAAAATAAATTACCGTAAATAGTGCTAATGCATAAATTAGCAGGTCCATGATATCATCATATTGGTTTGAACAATTAATTCTTTCCCTGTAAACTTTTGGACAGCGAATATATCTTAATGCATCTTCAGAAAAACTTGAACTTGATCTATTTTTGTTAACTTCAAAAAAATAAAATTTAAACATTAAACTTAATTTTTGGGTTAAAATGAACTCTAAGTGAGTGTTATGAAACTAAAATTTACACTTAAAAGTGATCTTTTATTTATTATTTATTTCAAACTGACTTTAAAATCGGGAGCAAGAATAAAGCATAATTTAGGGTATGTTACTTATGCTTTTTCATGATATAAATCATATACAAATCATGATATAAACTTTTCTCTTTGTAGTAGCTTTGTGCTTCGAAGTTGGAAACGAATAAAACTTAAATTGACAATTTTTTGTTGTATTTTTACAATTTATAACACAGCATTTCCTAAATCCCATTTTCTTCAGTGACAGAAGGTGTAAATACACAAACGGATATGAAATATGATAATTGACAATATGAATTTATGAAATCTATGAAATGTGCAGTAAAAAATGCAAGATTTCTCCGCTACTCGCGCACAATCGTTTCTCGTATCCCCTCCAAGTACTTGCACGTCGCCAATACTGTCTAGTCAACAGACCCACTGTCATACTGAAAGCTTTTTGATTGTAGGTCAGTATGTTGGCTGTGAATATAGCTAAAATGTTCCTAGTGAACCCTTTAGTTGTCAAAGTAGGACTCCGGGCCAATTAATACACTCGCCTTTATGGACTAGTTTATCAGTCTTTTATTTATCTAGGTAGCCTTTGTCTCCTGAAACCCCGGCTACGATTAATATATTCTCACTTCCAACGTCACAGGGGGTACCCAATTAATCCCACTTAAGTGTTTAATCGATCTACATAAAACTGAGTGCATGGTTATGTCCACGTGTTCTGTGAAGGTTAAGCCTTGGTCTAGAGTAACTCCTAGGTATTTCACTTCTCTTTCCAATCAATGGGATTATCTTGCACCAACGGCTCTTCCTCTGGGGTTTCTCTGAATTGATTGCTATGGTCCATTGGTGTTAATGTCAAGTACCATTTGAATGCATTCACTATTTATTGCATCTAGTAAAGTTTGTAGTTCTTCTATACTCTCAGCCATAATTACCGTGTCATCTGCAAATCTCATGGTGTCTGCGATTTCTTCACCAATTTTTATTCCCTCTTTTCTTTTCCATAAGGCTTTTATAAATATGACCTGTGAGTACACGTTTAAAAGCGTCAGAGACAAGATGCATCCTTGCCTCACCCCTTTTGCAATCGGTATATTATTTGTTTCTATATCGTTCACATTTACTATTACTTTCTGGTTTCAGTATATAGCCTTAATAAACTCAATGTTTTTTTTGTCTAAATTGATGTTTTTTAATTCATCTAATAACTTCATATTCTGCTCTCGGTCAAAGGCCTTTCTAAAGTCTATGAAGTATACATATGCACTCTTGATATATTCCCGACATTTCAATAAGAGTACCGTCAACGCAAATAATGCCTCTCTTGTTTACATGCCTCCTCTGAAGCCAAAGAGGAGGAAATCTTACTGCGTTAGATTTATCTGCTCCTCACATTTTTTATGAATTCGGTTTTGAACAATTGTCAACAGAATCTTTAAAGGGTGGCACATTAGGCTTATCAATCTATAGTTATTACATAATTGGGGATTGTTGTTTTTTGGTAGAGGTAAAAAGATGGAGTTAAGCCATTCCTCCGTCCTCTACATATATGTGGTTGAGAATTCGTTGAGTCTCTTATATTACTGTCAGATAAGGCTTTTAACACTGGAATTTGAATTTGGTGCTTTTCCTTGTTTTGCATTCTGTTGGCCACGCTTTACTTCTGAGAGTGAAATTTGTAGGTATTGTTCTTCTTCACCTATATCTTATTCATTTTCCCTCTCGTCATGGAACATATAGATTATATATTGTTCCCATACTTCCTTTATTTTGCTCTCTTCAGTAAGTATGCCTCCATTATTATCTCTTGTTATGAGTGCTCTACTTTCTCTGGTGTTGCCTGTAAGTTCTTTCATTTTTTTATGTAAGTTTGAGGTATCATGTTTGTTGCTGAGTTCTTCCCGATCCTGGCATTCCTTGTTAATCAATTCCTCCTTAGTCTTTCTGATTTCATATTTGATTTTATTCTTAATGGTTTTATATTTATATCCATCTTTATTTTTGTATTTTCGTTTTTTTAGTTATTATCTCAACTATTTCCGGTATCATCCAGTCTTTTTTAGTAGTATTCTCTTCTTCGCCTATGACCTCTTTTCCCGCTTTTAGTATGACTTTTTTCATATCTGCCCATTTCACGCTTCCTTCAGTTAATGTATTTATCTTTGCGTTTAGTTGCTGTTGGCGGTTGTCGTCTTTTGGGTTTTTGATGTTTATTTTGGTAGTTTTAATTTTTTTCCGGTTTTCTGAGTTTAATATTGATGTTTACTAGTAATAGATTATGGTCCGTATCTGCATTTGCGTCTGGATAGGTTTTAATTGCACTTTGTACTCCATTACATGGTTGTTTCAGTTAACATAAATTGGGCTTGACAATAATTCAACTTCAAAAATAGATATTAAATTTATAGAACTAACAAAAAGTGGATTTCTAAAAATAATTACATTTTAAATAAGTACTATTACAGATTATTTCATGAGATCAACATGTTAGTAGGTATTAAAGGTTATAAGTTTTTTTTAAATGTAAATATTCAATAACCAGTAGCAGTACGACTGTAATTTTATTCAATAAGAAACCACTTACTCGGTTGATTTACATCCTCTTTTTATGTAGGGTAAACATACCATTTATTGGACACTGCCAGTTATTGGACGTACCAATTATTTTAACTTAAAACAAGAATTCTGTATTCAGTAGTGAGCTAAGTTCTGTTCAGATGTCGCCTTGTACTATTAGTATCCATATTGACGTAAATAACATTTGATTGACGTTTCTGTTTTGCCGCCAAATGAAAAGTTCTTTGGTTATGCACCAAAAAGACGGTTTTCTTAACCCTATTTTAAGAAACCTTAGGTGAATTTTAGTGCTCTAATTAGTGGTGAAATTGTATCACAGTGCTCCTCATAAATAAACAAGTTAGTGGTAGAGTGAAAGTAAGTATTTTTAAGGTTTAATTAGCATATTTAAGTCTAGGTTATGTATTAGATGGGTGTCCAATAACTACAACTAACATATGAGTATTTTCAGTTATTGAACATCTGTCCAATAACTGCATTTTGCAAAGTTTATACAGTTTTTGTGTTTATACAGTGAAATATTCGTGCGTCTTCTCTGTTTCTGGCACTTCAATTTTGGTTTCAATATTCGCAGTGTAGCCAGTTATTGGACACCTGTCCAATAACTGGTTTACAATCTGTCCTATAACTGAAACATTTATTTACACAGTTTTTTTATGTCTCTAGTTTGCAATCATGCCCAAGAAAAATGTATATAATGCGGAATCGATGGAAGCTGCACTAAATGAAGTTAAAAATAACAATATGTCATACAGAAATGCGGCAAAAAAATACGGTGTACCTAAATCGACGCTGGAATTTAAAATCAAAAATCCTGGTCATAGAGACA